TAGGTGAAGGTCACCTCGGTCATTCCTCGCCTCCCTTGTCCGTTGTCCAGGAGCACGATGTTGTCTCGGACTTCCGTCTCCTACAGATGGTGGTGGTGGGGGTCAGCAAAGTTAGTCATGCCAGGGGCACACATAAACCTTTAGTCGTAGCACAAACAAACACACACACACACACACACACACACACACACACACACAAACACACACACACAAGAATTAGTCATGCCAGCGGCACACATCATGTAATAGTATAAGAAATACAATGCCGTGTTATGGCACACACACACTCACAAACACACAAACACACATATACACATGCACAGTTGCACACACATACACACATTAACACACCTAAACATACATACACACATAAAACAGCACATGCACGCACACGCATTTCATCATACAGAAGTGACAGGGGTCATACAGTTTTTAAAATTTTCATTATTTAAAAAAAATGTTTTGGCAAGACTTTTAGGCCATTTGCAAAACAAGTATGTCACGTAAAGAGCCGAAGATTAAAAGTGTCACAAGAGAGTAGTAATATACAAAGAAAAGAAGCAGTCTTGTTTTTAGTTTGAGTAAAGCAAGACTTTTAACGTACTTGCGATAAAAATAGGTCATATAAGTATCGAACGTTAAAGGTGTTACTAGAGAGTAACATATATGTGCTAAGTAAAGATAGAGGAGAGATAAGGACGGAAGATGATTGATTTTGATAGCAACAGAAGCAGCCAGCCATACCAGAATACCCACAAACCAAGAGGCAATAATAAAAGACACATGTTTTAGTAGAGGTTTTACGACGCTCGTAACTGTATAAGGTCATTTGAGCGCCAGAAGATTAGAGGTGTTACAAGAGAGTAACAAACATAAAAAAGAAGGAGGGGGAGATAAGGACGATAGATGTTTCATAGGAAAGAAGAAGCAAACCACATCAGAGCACCCGCCAACAACCCACAAAGACACATGAGGTTTAAATCAAATGAGTCATGACATAGTGCAAACTCGCAAACACACGATGAACCACATAGTGTTATGTCAAACACAATACTTGTTCATTTATGATATTTTACACACAGACACACACACACACGCACACACACACGTACACACACACGTACACACAAAACAAACACACCTACGCCTAAACACACACCCAATCACACACACACAAACAATGAGTCGTGTAAATTAGCTCACTTAAGTATACGTACTTATAAAAAAATTAATTAGACAGAATATTGTTACACTTTGTTGTGATTGGAAAAAAATCCAAAAACACTTATTAATAACATGAACACAAAAGAAATACAAGTAAATGTAAGCCCACATTTTAATTTCAAGCAGAAAGTTAATGAGAGAAAACGATTCTTTCCAGAATGTTCCTGACAAGCTAGCGAAGTGCTCCAGTTAATTAGAAAGATTGGAATAAGTAACTCTATACTACATTGTTGTCGTTTCAAGAAAAGAGATTGGCTCACAACACTAAGGGCATAGTGACATAGTGACAACCACACAGGGAGTGACGTCAAAATCAGTGACACGTCATCATCATAATGAAAGCTCAACGACAGACTGATCAATGCGTTCTCCACTCAGTGAAATTGCACAGCTACCATGATACATACATGTGTATTATACTGATACAGTCGAACCTGCTTTAACGACCACCTGTCAAACACAAGTCACAATCATCTGTGCAAACGGCTACTATTTTTCTCGTAGAAATTTTTATACGTCATATACATACATGCATAATACTTTAGATGTTTTACGTACACACATGTC